CTTCACTAACAAGCCGTTGCTCCCATAAGAACGATAGACTCTTTTTGTTCGTGCGAATAATGAAGTGGCGGCCTAAGAGATAAGGCCTCCATTTTTTTTATTGCAAGAACAATAGCCATAAGCTCACTCTCATAAACTAATATATGGCGAGCACGAGACGATAGAGCTTGACTAAAGTAGGCTATTGGCCGCTAGTTTTGCATTAGCACCACTCCAACTCCAATCTCTAAAGCATCCATCTCCACTACAAATGATTGCGAAAAATCAGGTAGTGCTAGAACCAGAACCTCTGTCATAGCTTTCTTGAGTTTTTAGAAAGCCTCCTCAGCTTCCGGAATACACAAAAATCCTTCCGTCTTCAAGAGGTTCTTTAGCGGCCATGCTAAACTCCCATATCTCGCCACAAATTTTCTCTAGTACCCCATTAGTCCTAGGAAACCTCGCACTTCCCTCCCGTTTCTAGGCACTAGCAATTGTAACATGGCTGCAATTTTGGATTGATCGGCGGCGACGCTGTTGCCTGAAATTATATGTCCCAAGTATTCAGGGATGGCTGTCCGAAACAACACTTCTTTGCATTAGCATACAAACCATATTGCTTCAATTCTGCTAGAACCACATCCAAATGAGCATGTTCCTCAATATTCTGACTGTACACAAGTTGTCATCAAAGGACACAAGCACAAACTTCCGTAGGTAAGCGCAAAACACCTTATTCATGAGGGCTTGAAATGTACCGGCGCATTGGTTAATTCAAAGGGCATTATGAGAAAATCGTAGTGGCCCTCGTGGGTGCGGAAAGCTATCTTCGGCACGTTCTTCACCTTCACTCGAATATTGTGGTAGCGGACTTGAGGTCAATCCTAGAAAAAATGGTGGCTCCACGCACTTCATGAAGCAACTCGTCAATATCTGGTACAGGGAATCGATCTGGGACAGTCTATTTAGGGCTCTATAATCAACACAGAATCGTCAACTCCCATCCTTCTTTTAACCAATAAAACAGGGCTCGAGAAAGGGCTTACACTTGGCTGGATGATTCTGATTTTCGGCAGCCAACATTTCGCGAACCAGCCTTTCAATCTCGTTCTTTTGAGCTTGAGGGTAATGATATGGCTGGCCGTTGACTGGTGAGGATCCTTCCTTAAGGACTATAGCATGATCCCGCACTCAGCGCGGTGGCAACCCTGTCAACATGTCGAAAACTGGTGCTTATTTCTATAAAACTTCATCTATCCCCACCGCTACCTCCTTGTGGTGGCCATTGAAATTTGCTATAAAACTTCATCCAATTGAAAGCCCGAGTTTTTGCCCGAGCCCGAGCCCGAGCCGCCTGAGAAATTTGGGCCGCCCGCCCGAGCCCGAATTTCACCTTGAACGGGCCGCGGGCTTGTATTAGGCGGCCCGAGCCCGGCCGGGTGGCCCGAGCCCGCCCGAATTGCCCGAATTATTTAAACTTTTTTTTTTAATATTAAGTTATTTTGTGTTAAAATTTATATATATATATTACAATTTGAAATTTAAAATGAACACACGAACTATATAAAAATTTTATTTTTTTTATTAATTTTTAAATTTATAATTCATGATTACCTCATTAAAAACCTTACCAAGAAAAACCCAATTAGGATAAAAACTTAGCAAGGAAAAAATAGTGCAATCATATTGTGACGAATTACAAATTTTATAAACTTACAAAGTTATACAATTACAAATACAATGTCAAAGGTAAATACATATTTACAAATTACAAATTTACAATTTAATTTAAAGCTAAAGGATCGTCTTTAAAATTAAATGTTAATCGATTAAATTCATCGATCCATTATTAGCTTGCCGGTGAAATTGTATCTTATAAATGTTGATCGGCCCGATCCCAATCCTTAATGCAAACCAAGGCTTCAATCAACATTGAGTGACTAGTCTTTTAAAATAGAGATCATCAAATAGAGATGAAGTTATTAAACCAAACCAATCATTGAGTGACTTTTGATAAATTATCAATTTACTTTGGTATGCAAGTAGAAAGTTACTTTGATATAGAGTCACAAATAGAGTGAAGAAAGTTGAAGAAAAAAGAGGATAATTAAGAGGATGAGGAGAGATTGTGAACAGATAAATAGATAAAGAAAGAAGAGTGATATAGAATAGAAAAATACGAGTATCTATAAGAACAAAACCGGCATTATATAGAAACAACACTTTTTAAAAATAAAAAACAATAAAAACGTGATGGCAATGTGTTTCTTTCCTTGTGTATATTGTTTTTTGAGGAATCATTTTATCATGTGATTGATTATAAAAAAGGGTCAAGAATGTGAAAACTGAAATATTAAACTGCTAAAATAAGAATTTGCTCTTTCTATTAAGGAATTGTGTGTTTATCTTAATTAAAAGTTAAAAATTTAAATAACAAATATGGGCATTGGGTCTAGTGGTATGATTCTTGCTTTGGGTGTGAGAGGTCCCGAGTTCGATTCTCAGAATGCCCCAATTTGTAGCAACTAAAATTTTCGGGCGGTTTTGGGCAAATCGGGCTTCGGGCAAAATTCGGATTTTCGGGCTTATTTTCGGGTCGGGCAATTCGGGCGGGTCAGGCATGGTCGGAAAATTCAAAAAAATTCCGGCGGACGGTGGTATAGGGCGGTTAGACGGCGGCGGGCAAGAGAGTTAGTGTCAAATTCGGGCTGCCCGAGCCCGAACCCGAAAATCTAGCTTGGGCGGGCGGGAGATGGGCTTGCCCGCCCGAGCCCGAAAAAATTCGGGCTTCGGGCAGCCCACCGACCCGAACTTCCAACACTGCTTCGAGCTAGGGTTGGACTCGTTCCTTTTCCCCCAAAGCTGGTCCTAACATTTGGGCGCTTAGCTCAATTTCCAGCTACCCCTAAATGGGCCATAGACTATTTCAATTGCAGATTCCTTCCGGTCCTCAACTTGTTAGGCTAGCTCCATAATGCGCCCAAGCCCACTAGGCTTTAACAACCGGATCTCTGCCCTCGCATACGCCTTCAACCCATTCACGAAATTGCTCTCAAGGACCTGCTCCGACACATCTGTCAGCGGTGCCACAAATACCTCAAATTGCCGGCGGTATTCCCGAACTGTCGCCTCCTGTAGAAGAGCTAGGAATTTCTCGCACAGGCTCCCTTCTTGAGAGGGTTGGAACCGTTCGAGCTCTATCGTCTTCAGTTCGGACTAGCTTCAGAATGCTCGCGGGCCATCCTCCTACTGGAACCACGCCAAAGCCTCCCCATCGAGACTTATCACAGCCACTTCTAGTTTCTCTGCGTTACTCAACTGATTCATGGAGAAACAACACTCTGCCTTGAAGATCCAACCATCGGGGTTGTTGCTATTGAAAACTGGCATCTCGATCTGTCGGACTTTGCAGTGCAAACGGTTTCCCCATTTTACAGAAATCAAAGGATATTGAGCCTAACTCAACCTAACAAAACCGGCTTGTTATGGGAGGATTGCCATCGCCTTGTTAAGTGGATCATACCAATATCTCCAGTCAATGTGAGATTCTAATACGCCCCCTCACGCACAGCGTGGACCATGCCAAACCGCTGCGAATAAGTTGATATTGGGGGACCCAACATTGCAAAACTGGGCCTGCTCTGATACCATTTTATAGAAATTAAAGGATATTGAGCCTAACTCAACCTAACAAAACCGGCTTGTTATGGGAGGATTGCCATCGCCTTGTTAAGTGGATCATACCAATATCTCCAGTCAATGTGGGATTCTAATACCCCCCCGATTCACACCCTCCTTCTCCGAACTCTCCCCCGACACCCTCGACTGTCTTGTTGGTGGTTCAGTGGCCGCCAGAGAACCTCCCTGGTCAGGTTCGGTGTGTTGACGCATCAGTACCTCCAACTTGCCAAGAATCAACTCCATTCCCCTATCCAAACACGTAATCTTCTGCAAGTCCTTGAACGCCTGCATTTCTCTTAAGACCTCCCAATCCCTTGAGTACTGTCCCTCTCATCCTTCTTTGGTGGAGCAATCTGGGAATGGTTCTCTGATACCAATTTGATGAGATCAGAGAAATAATTCACATACTTAAACACCCAATGAGAGAAAATATGGATTATATTGATCGATCAAAACTGAGTAAACAGAACATAATCTAATGAACCAGAAAAGAAAAGGAAAATTAAGCTAAGGATAGGTGGAATATTCGAGAGTCCACTGCTCTCCAATGAGCCTAGCTCTTTTGACCAAAAGATACAAGTTGATTGATAACCCTCCCTTTGCATCTAGCTCACTTTTTATTCTCTTAACTGAATTCCCAATCCCAAGACATTCAATTCCCTAATTGACTTCACCTTCTTCCTGCATAGCGAATTCTCTCATGCACCAATCATTCGACGCCTTCTGCCAACTCAGCAACTTCCTTTGCACGTTCACCACTCCCCTCTTGCCCCACTTGGTGCCTCTTCCTCCTTTGAGCATACATAAAACGCACTGGAGGTCTATCACAAACTCCAGTAGTTGAGCGGTTTACATAAGTTGTGTTACTTTGATACTGTTACAAGTCTTCTATATCATCTCTTAATTGCTAGTGTTGAGCAATTTTGCCTAAACTCTCGAAAGGGTTAAATGTATCGTTTTAACAGTTTCATAAAAGTAAGAAAAGTCTATGCCTAGTTCCGGTCACACTAAATTGGGGAGTTGTTGGAGCGATACCTGGGTTAGATTGCAACCTTCAATATGTTTTTGCAAAGAAAGCCAAGCATTCTCAAAAAACGAACAGGTGTTTAGGTTTTTCGAGCCTGGTGCACTTAATTCTCGAGGTGTGAATAAAAGAAGTTATTAGGAAATGAGAGCTCAAGGTCTTCTGAAGTTTCTTCTTTATCTTGCAACAACTCTCATCGTAGGGCCACCAGTCTTACTGCTCTGTTTAATGAATTTTCATATGCTTGAATAAAATAAGTTTTTTTTTTCTTTTTCTTTTTTTTGCCTGAACTAACCCGTTATCAATATCTCGACAGCGTTTGGCGAGGCTATGCTGCACACAATTGGATATATTTACACAAGGAAAGCTGCAAGAGAATTAGGAAAGGATAAACGGTACATGAAAGTTCCCTTCTTGGCAGAGTGGGTAAGAGATAAAGGACACCAGATAAAGTCTCAAGTAATGGCAGCTTCAGGTGCATTTTTATGATTGAAGAGGATTTTATTTGGTGAATGGTAGCTTTATGCGCTTGTTAAACTTCAGTTTTCTGACCGGGCCTGCTTACACTTTTCTGAATGTGTAGGTGCTGTGTCTTTAATTCAAATTCAGGAAGAGCTGAAGAAGATAAACCAAGGAGAAAACAAAGAAGAGAACTTGGTGAAAGCCTTAGAAGATAAAATGGATGCCATGCTTAATTCCCTATGGCAGCTTAATGTGGTTGATATTGAGTCAACTCTGTCTCACGTCTGCCATGCAGTGAGTTGCAGTATCCATTTTCCTTTCGGGATTAAATGCTTATTTCTTGGGTTATTATTATTATTTTTTAAAGGCATTAATAGAAAAAGTAATTAAAATTAACACCAGCTTTGATTATTTTCTTTTACGTCATTGTCACGTTAGTGATTATTATAATTATGACAATTGATTAGAGAATGAACCGTCATGACTATTAGTAATTAATATGCCTCCGTTTGTTTTACTGATGTAGTTCAATTTAACTCAGTTCGAACAGTAAGTACAATTTGAACTCGTGTTTGGTAAGCATGCGTGGGAAAAGGTTACAGTTGAAGATAGTCTAGTATCATGTGGTTGTGGTTGTAATGATTGACCTGAGCTATGCCAGAAGAATTCCCTTTGATTCTTTTGCAATTCTTGTGTGAAATACAGGAGTCACTTTTTATTTGTCTGCCACTAATATAAGTTCCGTTTCAAGGACTAAACTAAATAAAGATGTATACAAATTTAGTCTGCCATTATGACTTGTTCTCCTGTGAGATCCATTTTTGTATTTCTTCCATTAGATTAGCAAACAGAGTATATATATATAT